AAGTAGGACGGACGTCTCTCTCTCTCTCTCTCTCTCTCTCTCTCTCTCTCTCTCTCTTGCGATCGGCAAATTCTACCGCGGACGAGATGATACGTTTGGAGAAGTACGTGCGGAGCCATTTCGAAAAGAGCCAGTTAACCAGCGACAAACGGAACGTCAAATATCAATTGTCGAAGCAACGGAATTAATTACTGGTTGCAATTAATTTGCCAATTAGATCCCGACCGGGATCCATTTAGATGTAATCTGCTTGCTGGCAGGTTCATCCTCTTTCCGCGTTCCCTCCGCTTTGGTATCTGCCGCGCAGCAGCATCCGACGAGAAACACACAGAGAGGACTGGCATTCGCTCCGAAGCAGTCGACAAATTAGCCGTATTAACGGGCACGACCGCGAACGCAGATTTCGTGCAGTTAGCATGCAGTTCTCCCCCGTGCTTGATATCCACGCGAAGGATTATTCAAGTTAACTCGAGCTAGACGCTCGCGAGCGCACGCCCGTACTAATTAGAATAACTGAATTATGCAACGAAAATGTCGAGTGCATGTTCGTAGCCGAACCATGTCTTCGGCATGCTTTGAAAGTTTTCGCATTCAGTGATGAAATCAACCGCAATAACATGCAAAGGGCCAATTGTGAGTCGTGAAAGCCGTGAGAATTTTTTCGACGGAATTTTTTCCACAAAAACTAATTTATGGCTTAAGATTTGATGATTAACGACAAAGGACATTAAGTCACTCCACTCGAGAACGACTAAAGATATAAATAATAAATGTGTACTTTTCGCGAAAGAGAATCGGATATCTACAGCCTGTTACAGAAATCGCGATCGGCATTAACTCGCCGATGGGTAATCAAGTAATGAATACATCGTCGGCAAAGACCGTATATAAATCATGCCCGGGAGGATGCCGGGGGCTACAGGGCAGGCCCTTATCTCCAATCAGTACATTGATTGCACGCAGGCAGGTCAAATACCGGCAGCGCTACTCGGCAGCTCGGCCCTAGCACGATAGCTTATTCAATTTCCGAAACGGCATTCACCATTCAATTCGGCGGTTATCAGCCTGCGCCCATCCCCTATCTGGGTTTTGCGTGGCTCTCCAGAAAGCCGCCCTGAAAGAAGAGGCTCCGTTTATCAATGGATATAAATTGAGACGGTCGAGATTTCACGTGGCACGTGACGGCTTGATATTTTTCCGAAAAATCACCACGCGAATTCCCAAATTTCGATCGATATATATATCACGCGTTTCTCCGGGCGCCTCTCGGCATTATTCAGCCGTATATAAATTCCACGTGAACTTCTCGAGGTAAAATATTCTCAATTACGCGAGAGATATCCTCCGGCGCTAATTCGATAAAACAAAGTTCCGCCGCGAGTAGGACAAGATGGCATTATCATTCGGCGCATTTGCCGCGCGCGTGGCTATCATTCAGTATCTACCGGGTGGTAGCCAGCGAGGCAGCGCACTTTCCCGCAGTGTACATAGATAATCGAGCTTAATTAATTGCTCGTGATGCGCGCTCGGGGCTCAGCAAACACATTTACTTATTACCATCCATCTTGAGCGGTGCCTCTCAAGGGGATCGATTTTCCAAGTGCACGCGGCTGATGACACAAATTGCCAAAGGGTCGACGCTCGATCGTAACGCGATCGTTAAATAGAGGCGCGGCTTTTTCTCCGTGATCTCTCCGCGAGAACACGACGGCGTCCTGTTGAAAAAAAAACATACTTAATTATCCAGCTTCCTCCGGCAGCGTTCCAAAGAGAACGAGAGTTAATCGCGAACCCAAAACGACTTTTATGCATGAGGGCGGCCTGAAACTATCTGTCTTCGTTCGTCCATTTTGCATATAACGCGCGCGGCGCGTGCGGCGCTCCTCTCCGCGTGTGTTAACTTTAATCTAAAATTCCTTTGCGAAAATAACTCGCGTAGACACGTTCAACAAGCGTCAGTGCCAATTAGTACGCAAAAAGGATCAATTTTCAATTTTGATAACGCTTCTCTGCCGCAACATCCGTCACGCCCCTTCGCACATTTTTTTTTCACAAATCACGAATAAAGATTACGATTAAATGACGAAGTAAAATGGACTTTCGGATGATGGGACTAATCCCGGAGACGTGACGGCATCTCGCTGCGATATCATGGCTCGCTGCCAACCGACATCACCTCGCTGCTGCAATCGAGTGGCTACGACCACGGGGGCAGTAACGAGATTACGCGGTAGTTAATAGTCGGCCATGTTAATCGGCACGTCTTGCCGGCGAAGTATCGTCCAGCCGAGCGGAAGTCTCGCTCACCTGATCGTTATTGACTGGTACAGATCCCACGGGTCGTAAGTGACATTTACACGATGCATTCAACGTTAAACTCGTCCGGAGAGACAAGGCGGGAGACGAAGCGTCGTATCTCAGTTCC